ATGTGAAGATGCAATAACACCTAACAATTAGGGTTTACAGAAAAATCTTAGTTTGACACTGAAGGGAGGGAGGAAGAAAGAAGGTGGGGCTATAACCAACTTTGCCCATTTGTATGTTACTGTGGCAAAGATGATTTAGAAGTGTTATTTATTTCCATGGTCTTCGTGGATGTTTGAATATTTTACATGCGAAGTCTTAGATTCTTCGATTCTTGTAGAAGCTTTTGGCCAAGTTGCCAAGTAGCAGTCTGCCTGCTGCTGCTGCTGCTTTTATAATATGAACACGTTGGTCAATGGATTTGACCTTCTTCCCTCTTTTGTGTTTTTTTTCTTCTGTCAATTTGTTGGACCACTTCGAGACCAAATCAAATCTTTTGGAATTTACTGGGCTAAGATTTGAAAAGTCTGTATGTATATTCATATTGTCAATTGTGTGTAGGGTTTAGGGAACAACCATTTGAGGCACTTTTCCTTGGGCTGCACGGGGCTGGTTTCTGCTGGGCTTAAAATTAAATTCTAATTCAGCCCAACATATTTTAAACTTTTAATGGTGTGGAGATCATTTGGGCTAGTTTTAGACCAAATGAACAGTCTTTTAGACCCATTTAATCCAAAGGTGGATTGAACTATTTCTTATTTGAGGTTTCTTTTGTTTTTTTTTTTTGGAGCTTGTTTAACTGATGTATTTTTTTTTGAAAGGAAACTTTTGTATTAGAAATCAAGAGGATGAGGCATCCTCGATTAACAAAGAAAAAGACAGAACAAAAAGCAGCAAAACTCCAGCATCCTAAGAAACACGCCTTAGGACACTAACAACCCCCTACGTTAGCACGGCTACCAAATCTCTCATGATTACTGTCAATTTGTTGGACCACTTCGAGACCAAATCAAATCTTTTGGAATTTACTGGGCTAGGATTTTAAAAGTCTGTATGTACATTCATATTGTCAATTGTGTGTAGGGTCTAGGGAACAACCATTTGAAGCACGTTTCCTTGGGCTGCACGGGGCTGGTTTCTGTTGGGCTTAAAATTAAATTCTAATTCAGCCCAACATATTTTAAACTTTTAATGGTGTGGAGATCATTTGGGTTAGTTTTAGACCAAATGAACAGTCTTTTAGACCCATTTAATCCAAAGGTGGATTGAACTATTTCTTATTTGAGGTTTCTTTTGTTTTTTTTTTTGGAGCTTGTTTAACTGATGTATTTTTTTTTGAAAGGAAACTTTTGTATTAGAAATCAAGAGGATGAGGCATCCTCGATTAACAAAGAAAAAGACAGAACAAAAAGCAGCAAAACTCCAGCATCCTAAGAAACACGCCTTAGGACACTAACAACCCCCTACGTTAGCACGGCTACCAAATCTCTCATGATTATGGAGTAATGGTAGTCATTGAAATGCCCAGAAACAGAAGCCCAAATAGAAGCCCAAAATTTAACTCTCTCCCAGACTTCCTCAAAGCTTGCACCTTTGTTCTCCTGAAAAATCCTACGGTTTCTTTCCATCCAAACATTCCAGTAGATAGCGTGGGTGAGACAGTTCCAAAGAGTTAAAGCTCTTTCTCTATTTCCTGACACGGCCCACTTGATGCTAAGTAGGTCCTCACAGCCTCTAGGGGTCACCCAAAAAACGCTGAAAGCTCTCAAGAGATTCCACCAAAGATTTAGTGAAAACGGGCAATGCAAGAACAAATGATCGATGCTTTCTGCACTTTCTCTACAAAGAACGCACCAGGAAGGGGATAAACACATCAACCTAACCCAAATGAATTCCCAAATCCTGATTAAGTCATCATACATACCTTGTACCTATTGAAAAGGTATTTCCTAGTTTGATGCGTATACACAATAGAATTTGGAACAAGAACTTATGTTGTTTGCAAAACGGACATCAAGTAACCTCTAAAACAATGCATTAAAAAAAATTAGCCATAAGCAATCAAGGAAGGACTCATATACTTAGAAAGAAAAAACTTATTTAAAACTCCAACATGCAACCTTGTAGCATCTTCAATAGCCTCTTCAACATTTTTGGAATGCTAAAATAGTTGAGCCACAATAATAAAACTCCCTCCAACAAACTTGTCAAACTCAGTCATCAAAGATGCAACTCTTTCTATATCTTCATGATTGACAAGTTGACTTTGGCTTTTCAAAACATTTATGGCATGTTTAATGATCTGTAATTGGATTAGGAGAAATTGAATTGAGGATAAATTGAATTGAGGAGAATTAGATTCCGGATTCCTATTGAAGTTGTTTACTAAACCATAGACTGAGGGAAGTTAGATTCTTGATTCTTATTGAAGTTGTTTACTAAACCATATGGAATTGGGATATGAGTGGTACTAATTACTAAAATGTCATCGCTGTTGGGTTACAGTAGATGGCAAATTTTAAAATTTTAAAATTGTGTGAGGATATAATGGGTAAAAAAGATAAATTCCTAAGGGGTTAGTTCTCCAGGAATTAGAATACCACATCCTACCCAATAATTTAATTCTTCCAAAATCAGGAGTTCAATTCCTAATTTTGTGTGGGCCCTACTTACTTTTCAATTCCTTGATATAAAGTAAACGCAAGAATCCTTTGAAGAGAGAGACATAGGTTGCAGCTTTAATGACTGAGGTTGAATAGGCTGAGAGTTTTTCTGATGTGGCTCGTGATATGAAGTAAACGCAAGAATCCTTTGAAGAGAGAGACATAGGTTGCAGCTTTAATGACTGAGATTGAATAGGCTGAGAGTTTTTCTGATGTGGCTCGCCTATTTTAGAATTCCAAAGCTGTCTAAACTATTTATGAAGGTGAAACTATGAGCTTGCACTGTAGCCGATGCCCCCCTCTGGGGGTGGGTGGCTTCCTCATCTTCCATCTTTCTTTCCTCATCTCCCTTTCTCCTTTCCTAGTTTTCTTCCCCTCTCATCTTCACTCCCTAGATTCGTTTGAATTTTGGGTCATCTTGCCCAGATTTATCTGGATCTTGTATTTTGTTTGTTTGTTTGTTTGTATGTTTTCTGTTGTAGGTCCTTGGTGACTTTTGTTGTTCTTGGATTGGGTTAGTTCTCCAGGAATTAGAATACCACCTCCTACCCAATAATTTAATTCTTCCAAAATCAGGAGTTCAATTCCTAATTTTGTGTGGGCCCTACTTACTTTTCAATTCCTTGATATAAAGTAAACGCAAGAATCCTTTGAAGAGAGAGACATAGGTTGCAGCTTTAATGACTGAGGTTGAATAGGCTGAGAGTTTTTCTGATGTGGCTCACCTATTTTAGAATTCCAAAGCTGTCTAAACTATTTATGAAGGTTAAACTATGAGCTTGCACTGCAGCCGATGCCCCCCTCTGGGGGTGGGTGGCTTCCTCATCTTCCATCTTTCTTTCCTCATCTCCCTTTCTCCTTTCCTAGTTTTCTTCCCCTCTCATCTTCTCTCCCTAGATTCGTTTGAATTTTGGGTCATCTTGCCCAGATTTATCTGGATCTTGTATTTTGTTTGTTTGTTTGTTTGTGTGTTTTCTGTTGTAGGTCCTTGGTGACTTTTGTTGTTCTTGGATGTGCCTTGCTGTTACTGGGATGGTTGCGGTGTGGTGTTGTCGACCCAGCTTTTTTCTTTGGTTTTCTTTGCGTTTTTGAAGCAAGTACTGCAATCCATCGTAGACGCCATGATTTTGTTGCAGCTTTTGATCCACTCACATAGATTTTGCTCTAGTTCAGTGTTTAGAGTTGGAAAAGTGATTGTTGCCGGGTTGTGTTGGATCGAATTTTGCCTGTGCAAAATAAGAGGTTGGTGCTACAAGTCTCTTTGGTTTGTTGGAGAGGATGTGGTGTAGTGTCTTTATTTATATATTTATTTTAGTCTAATAACTCTAAGAAACTCAATAAGAGTTTGCTGATGTTTGTATTTAGTGTTGACTTTTCGATGCGGATTTGCCGTTACTGTCGTTGCACGGTGGATCTATATTGTAGGTCTGAGTATAGGTGCTTTTGTCTGCCGAATTAGAGGTTTTAGATTTTTCTGGCATGCGTAATTTTCTCCATATCAAACCAATTTATTTTTATGTTTGGTCACTGGAGATGTTGTACTCATATTCAGCATTGCGGTTACTTTGTACTTTTTTTATGTGTTATCAATAAAATTACTATAAAGTTTAATAAAAAAATTCCAAAGCTGTTAAAGAGGCTATTGGAGTCTTAAAGTAGCAAACAAACCTTTTCAAATTGCCACATAGATTAATAAACTTTAATTTGCTACTACTATTGGAGATGCTCTTATAATTTGAAAATCTTAGCTTCCTCCCTCCCTACTACAAGTATATAAACCCCTGTAAATATATAGATAAATATTTGTGATTATAAATTTTCAATCCAAAAGCCCAAGCCAAAAAAAAAATAAAATCCAAAGATTCCTTAATTGAAGCATGAAACAAAGCATCAAAAACAAGTTTCAAGACAGGGCATTGACCAACTATATAGAATCAAGTATGTATGTAATATTTTGAGGGTAGTCTAGAAGTAACTAAAACTTTAGGGCCCGTCTGAGAATATTTTGAGAGTGTTTTATGAGAATATTTTCAGAGAATGAAAACAAGAAAACGAATTTGCATTTTCAGGAAATGAAAATGCGTCTGGTAGATTAATTAGAAAACATCTTCAGAAAACATGTCTCGTAGTACAATTTGAAATAATAATATGTGAGTTATTTTTATGAAAACGTTTTCCACGAGAATGAAAACAACTTTTTTCTGTTTTCTACAAGCACACATGAACTTGTTTTCATTTTATGAAAACATTCTCAGTGTGTTTTGTTTTTGGGCCACTGAACGTATAATTTCAATTTTTAATGCTTGCATTAACCAAAGACATTTTCTGGTATTTTGAATGTTTGACCATTCTCGCCTTTTGCTTTATATATATAAATTTATTAAAGACATATATAATTTAATTTATTGACGGCACAAATAAAATTTAATTTATTGTATTTGCCGAGTTGACGTCTATTCTCCAGTCCAACCAAGAAAAGGAAAGGGAAATAGCGAGCCAATACGCACTCACTGCTTCTTCTTCTTGAGCTTTCTTTTCCGCTCCTATTTTCCTCGCTAACCAAACAACAAAGCCTCCTCCTTTTTCACGATACATCCTCGAATTCTCTCTCTTTCTAGTTTCTCTGCCCACTTTTCCATTCGATCAAACACTCGCAGAGTCTGAAACGAGTCTCGCAAGCATTAAACCTAGCCTTATACACCCCAATTCTCGTCGCTTGGGCTTAAATTGAAATTGACGGAGTCAATTGGAAAGGATGTTCTTCTCGGGCGATTCATCGACTCGGAAGCGAGTTGATTTGGGGGGACGGAGTACCAAGGAAAGGGACAGGCAGAAGCTTCTGGAGCAAACAAGGCTGGAGCGCAACCGCCGCTTATGGCTACGGCAGCAAAACTCGGCTGCACTTAAAATTCAGGTTTGGACTTCTGCATTCACTGTCTGTGTGATTTGATTTAGCTTCTAAGTGCAAAAAAAGTTAAGACTCTGTGGAATTGGTGAAAATTGCATCAATTTGATAGTAGTTTTAACCTAATATGTTGTCGCTATGTTGCCACATTATACGTGTAGGTGCGATTGAAAAATACAGTAAATTGAGTTTCTTAGTACCCTTATTGGTGATGGTTTGTGCATTGAATGATAGGTTTTTTATATTTATAAATCTGTGTAGTTTATGGATATGAACATGTCTTTTAATTGTCTCGGTGCCATATGAGTAGATTTTGTGAAGATCAAGAGAATAGGTGGCCGTTGATATGTTTGTTAATCTAGCCTTTGTTTTTGGCTGATCCTGAATGCATTTAACTGCTAAAGTACTACGCCTGATTGAGCGGGACGTACTTTTCAGATTAATATGTAGCTGGATTCAGCTATTTGTGGGTCCCAATGTCCGTTATGTTGATCTTCACGAATTAATGGGGAAATGCAGCTAACATGAGTTGACCTCTATGCAGACCCTCAAATTTTTTCATCATTACAACCTTATGTTTGGAGTAGATGATGATGTGAAGAGTGAAATGTTGAACATGTGTGGAATTTCTAGAAGTAAACCCTTACTAGACATCTACAAAATAATATGAAAAATGTATGCACGATTTACATGTGTCTGAGGCATAATTCAGTTTTTAGTTACACTTACCGTGTAAAGAGAAGATACCAAGTTCAAATCCCTCTTCCTCAATTGTTTATTACTGAAAAGAAGAATTATACGTGACCTAGATGTGAGAAACTCATATTAGTTTTCTAGTTCGTAGCACGTTTCCCAAACACATTATCCTAAATAATATGTCTAATCTTTTGAGAACTAGAATGTTCATAAGAATTATCTTAAACTAGAGTTCCAAAAATATAAACTATGAAAGGAAGAACGCACATAAGCAAATCATACAGCTGGAAATAGTATCAAATATTTAAAGGTGGTTTCCTTTTCCTTCCTCCCATTTTAATGTAGGTAGAGGAGAAAGATTACTGTTCATCCATTCCTATTCTACCTTTTTGTCACTTTCTTCTTTTTTCCAATAAATGAGTGCTAAATTTTGGGTCCTCCCCTTCTCACAAAACGGGAAATCCTTCAAGGACGGTATTTAAAATAATGTTTTTCCAAGTTATATTTTGACTGGTCAATAAAGCTAAGTACATTTGATGGCATAAATTTAATGGCTTGAAGGTAATACATATGATCTCTCCTTTTGGTGCTCTATTAGTGAAATTATTACGTATTGCTATAAAATCTTTTGATGCACAAGAAAAGGTGAATTAGCAGATGATTAAACAATTTAGATCTACATTGCATGGAGTTATCAGCTTTACCACATATCCATATACAAATGATGTATCTACCATGCCACTTACGTTGATAGGTGCTAATGAGTGCTTTTTGATTTCCTTTTATTTGAGATAGCCAACTCAACTGTCTGAGTAAAGCTGTTGTCTAGATTGGCAATGTAATTACTATCCATCTATGTTTTGTAAAGTGCTGACTAATTACTAACTACAGAAATGCTTCAGAGGGAGAAAGGTAGCAGCAGCTGAACATTCTAAAGTGCGAGAGCAGTTCAATGGAACATATGGGAAACATTGCCAGAATGTGGACAGGTAAGATTTGGATCCTTATTATCTGTTAACTTCCTCTTCAGTCGTGGTAGTTGGCAATTAAGTTAATGCTCTACTTTAAGCATCTTCACCTTGTTCGAATTGTCTCTGTGCATTCAGGTTTAGTTTTGGTCCCGATTCAGAGTTTCTCCGCCAGTTACTTTTTTTCTTTGATGCTCGAAGTGTTGGCGATTTTTCCATCCTTGTGGAGATGTGCCGGCTGCTTCAGCAATTTGTCAGAGATACAGGTAATTTTAATCTATTCCTTTTCAAAAGCTGTCTTTTCAAGTAATCTTTTGATTAATATATCTCACATAATAAATCCTGTTTCTTGAAAAAGAAAACCTCATGTAATAAATTGGTGTGGGTGACTCTTCTCTGGAACTTTAATTTTAGTGCAGGGATGGTTATTACAGTATATCTACTTGTTCATGTATTTTTAAGTCTTAAACCTGAAACCCGTCCCTCTCCCCCAAAATTCCAAGTAATGAATATATTAGCAGTGTATGTACTAGCCCTACTGATTAATGTTCTTTAAGTTATTTAGAGATGTTCGTTTAATGGTTCTGTAAATTTTAAGATAGTAAGAAGTTTATAAAGATATAATTAATTTATGGTAGGTTGTTATGATAAATGTATACTTGAAACCTTCAACCAGTATTCTCTAGATTGGAAATCACCAATTACCCGAACAATTCTCAAGGATGACATGCCAATTCTTCCATTAAGGATCTTGAACTGTCCATGACTTCGTGCAGTTGATTATGATTTAAAGGGACGTGACTAGGCTGTCTTCACATTAAACCCCGATCCATGATGTATTTGATAATTATGGAGCTGGCTACAAGTATGCTATTCATTTAGTTCTTATCCTGTTGAATTGTTTCAAAGTTTGCCAAGAAATAGCTAAAGAAAGCACCTTTTTTAACCTTTGGTACAATTACATAGTAATTTTCGTTTTAAGAGTTTAATAAAGACCAGTTAGAACCTCTCGAGGTTCTGCTTGTTTCACACTGCTTAGGACCTGTTGGTGTTATTGACAATATCTGATCATGAAACAGGGGATATTGTTAGCCTCTTTGCAGGCGTGGATTATTCATCCAACCATGCTTTGGTAAATTACAGAGTAGAGCAACTTACATATCTGTGTGTTAAGGCTGTTCATCAAAACAGGTTGGTTGTGTCCACTCAGTTTAAATTTTTTGGTCATTTGATTCTTTTGATTTAGACTACCAATTTGGCTTTATTTGTTAATCTAATGTGTTGGTTTGTTATGCTTAGCTCATTTATTTCGTAAGCATCTCATTTATTCATTGATTATTTTATAAAATCACTAATTGAGTCATTATATCGATTCACATTCCTGGGCACATTGATGAAGTCTCTTTCATATCTAATATAACATGGAGGTATGGGATAAACGATATATTTTCACTTTCTAATTGTATGGTATACCTTTTACCTGTATAATGTTATAGCAGAGGATTTGCTGACTTGTAAAGGAGTCATTTGCAATATAAGTAGAATATGAACTTAGTTCTTTGGTTTTGTTGGTCTCAATGCTATTTACATTAATATGGTTTTTGAGTTGCTTACTTAAGTGTTTTATTGGACAGAAATCAATTGAAGGATCAACTTTTTGCAGCCCCCGAGGAGGCAACTGTGTCAACAACTTTACTGTTAGAAGCAGTAGTTTTATTGATAGATCCCAAGCTTCCATGGGCTTGTAAGACAGTTAGCTATCTTTTGCAAAGAAAGGCTTTTACCCTGTATAGAGATATTATTTTAACAGGAAAGGTATGTATCTGATTCCAGCTATTTGTTCATACTTCATAGCTTTTGTTTTAACAGGAAAGGCTTTTACCCAAAAGCCACCCCTCCAGCCCCCCTATCTCTTTACAAAAGCATTAAGTAGATTAAGACATGTTTGGTCACATCTCGGTCACTAGTATAAAAGTGAATGAGAAAGATGATAAAGGATCACCTTGTCTTAGCCCTCAAGAAGCTTTCTACCACCATCCACTTTCCTATTAACTAAAGTAGGAAAGTTAACTGTACGCATTTATTTGTTTGTTTATTTTTAATCTTTTCTAGTTTATGTATTATTCCAACATATTCTAGTTTTCTTGTTTCTGGAGATTTTGTCATTTACTCTACTGGCATTCACAAATGGGAATATTTTCTACAACTATGAGTATTGTGGTGCAGGAAAGTATAAAGATCCATACTTCCATTGGCAGAGTATCTTCGTTGGAACGCAGTCTTGCTGCTGTAATTCCTCACATTGGTCAGAAGCCATGTACCTGCCCAAACATCGATCCGCACTGGAGCTTTTCATCTCAAATTCTTACGATTCCTTTTCTATGGAAGCTATTCCCATACTTAGGAGAGGTAAATTTGAAGGGCTTGGTACGTACGGTCATCACATGCTGACATAAGTGCTCAAAACCACAATGATACTTTTTTTCTTTTGAAGTTCTCTCATCTAATGAGTTGTAGGTGTCTTTCAGTATGATTTCATTGTGCTGCAGAATCCCTTGCTACCTTCTTTTGTTGTTGATCTAGTTGTCTTTTGAAGCGCTTTTTTCTTGTTTTAATATTTCCTATTCTGCAATTGTTGTAATCTTTTTTTCGTTTAGGTTTTTGCAACACAGGGGATGAGTCAGCATTACATTCGTCAGATGGCACTCTGTGTCTTTTGAAGCGCTTTTTTCTTGTTTTAATATTTCCTATTCTTCAATTGTTGTAATCTTTTTTTCGTTTAGGTTTTTGCAACACAGGGGATGAGTCAGCATTACATTCGTCAGATGGCACTCTGTGTGCAAAATCATGCTCATGTACTTCCCAATGATACATCAATTGAACTACCTGGTTATGCCTGCCTTCTTGGAAATATATTAGAATCTTCTGGAGTTGCCTTATCTCAGCCTGGCTGCTCATTTGAAATGGTAATTACTGGCCTGCTATCATAAGTAGAAATGGGCAACGTGTTATTTTGCAAAAATATGATTTAGGTCCATTATAGGAGTGCATTCTAAAATTTTGGTAGTCAGTAATCGGGGAGATCGTTAGGTTCAAGCAATATTACTGACAGTTGCACTTTGTGATTTATTAAGGAAGAAGAATTTGGAAGAATAACTTATTAGGAGGGATAGGTTTTTGACAATGTTCATTTATTTTTTTTCTCATTTTCCTATGCACTCTCACACATGCGTACTTTTTGCATGTGTATTTATTGGTAATGCAACCTCTTTGATGGCTTTGATTCTCCATTTTGTTGTATTCTTTATAATAACAGGCTGTAGACCTTGCTGGTGTTGCAACATTCTTGTTGGAGGCCCTTCCTTCAATTAAATCATCAAATAGAGAAAGCAGAGAAGGTATATGCCTTCCACATGTTGTAGTTTATTCCTCTCTTACTCTCCTTTTAGTGGGGGTTTTTTTGGGTCCAAGATGTCTCGATATATATCTATATATATATAGAGTCCCCTTGTTTAAATAATGGAAGCCCTCTGATTATTCTGTTCACTTGTTTAATTTGTGCAACATACATCAAATTCTGCATTACATAAGAACATTCATATGTTGACTTTCAGAGTTCATGATGGGCGAGGATGATATGATTGTGGGAGATGATGTAATGGAAGTAGTTTTGAATATTGATTTGGAACGACAGATATGTGATGCCATAGATCCGCGCTTCCTTCTGCAATTAGTAAGCCATCTTGGATTATGTATTTCTATTTTCTATTGAAGTACATTTATATTAAGCAAATATGTCTTTACCTCTTAATTCTAAGCAAGATTTTGTTTAATTCTTTGAGCAGACAAATGTTTTGTTTGGAGGGATTTCACTTGCCAGTGGCTCACACCACGGACCGGATGATAAAGAGGTGTCAGCTGTTGGTGCGGCTTGTGCTTTTCTACATGTTACTTTCAACACCTTACCTCTAGAGAAAATCATGACGATACTAGCTTATAGAACTGAACTTGTTCCGGTGCTTTGGAATTTTATGAAACGGTGCCATGAGAACCAAAAATGGCTGTCATTGTCTGAGCAGTTGGCATATCTGCTGCCAGGAGATGCACCTGGTTGGCTATTACCTTTGGCAGTATTCTGCCCTGTATACAAGTAATAGTCCCTGTTTAATTTTGCTTGAATTTTGTAGATATTTTTTATTGGTTTGAAGTATCTAGTCATTCTCTTCTCCTGTTTTATGTATGCTGTTTTGATGCTAGAGTAATATGTGGCTGCTTGAGATAGGATTAACTGTGATCGTTTGACTCCCTTTTTTATGGATCAGGCACATGCTTACAATAGTTGATAATGAGGAGTTCTATGAGCAGGAGAAGCCACTATCATTGAAGGATATCAGAGTCCTAATTATCATACTCAGACAGGTGATTCTTGTTGAATATCTGTTGTCAACTGATCAAAAGAATGGTGATCATTCTTGAACTGTAGGAGTCTGTAGGAATGTAATTAGTTGTTCTCTATGTATGACAAACAGGATATGCAGTACTTGACTGATTGCTAATTCTATTACACTTATGTTGATTTGTGATTTTTACTTGGTAATTTTATTGAATTGTCGTATTATGTGGATTTTCTATTCTCTGCAGGCCCTATGGCAGCTTCTTTGGGTGAATCCTACGGCTCCCACTAATCCTCTGAAATCTTTCACCAACACTGTTTCTAACAAGAAGCACCCTTTGGAGTTCATTCAACACAGGGTTAGCATTGTAGCCTCTGAACTCCTATCCCAGGTAGGAACGAGCTTTAGATGTTGAGTATGTGTTCTTTAAAAAAGTTAACTTTCCATGTAGCAGTATATTTTGTGGTTGTCCTTCCACCACAGGTTTTGTGATTTTTGGTTCTCTTTGTATATGTCCACAAATGAACAGGAAATTTTACACTCCATTTGTTTTTTTTTGGGTAATTTGTTGCATATGTAGTTGCAAGATTGGAACAATAGACGAGAGTTCACATCCCCCAGTGACTTTCATGCTGATGGTGTCAACGAGTTCTTTATTTCACAGGTAATGGATCTCATTCCTAGGACCAAGATCTTTCTTTCACTGTTTTCTAATGTCTATTTTTATTCTGAAGGCCGCAATGGAAAATACACGAGCAAATGACATTTTGAAGCAAGCTCCCTTCCTCGTACCATTCACAAGCAGAGTTAAAATATTCACTGTAAGTATTTAATTGGTTATGACTTTGCTTTAAACTTTTAGCTGGAAGCCTGGAATGTTCTAACCGAGTAATGGGGATTGGGGACTGGAGTTTGACTGGGTCGTCAACGGTGTATTTTTCGGAGTATTGTTTCTTATTTCAAATGTACAATCCTTTCTTGGGGCATTTTTAAAGAGAGATGGAAATCTTTATGTACCTTAAGTCTTATCATTTAGATTTTTTAATTAGTTTATTCTTAAACCAATTTGTCAGTCACAATTGGCAGCAGCTAGACAAAGACATGGGGCTAATTCTGTATTTACCAGAAACCGATTCAGAATCCGGCGGGATCGGATCTTGGAAGATGCTTATAATCAAATGAGTGCATTGTCTGAAGATGATCTTCGAGGACCGGTAATTCGTCTATTTTTGTTTTTGTACATTTAATAGATGAAGGTTGCCTTGGGAGTGCTTTTAGCAGTACCGAAAACGCTTCCAAATAACCAAAAAAGTTATCTTTTACCGCTTAACTGAAAAGATTAGTGCTTTTTGGGGTCAAAAAAGCACTTTTTTTTTGGAGAATTATCTACAGAAGCATTTTAGACATACTCTTTAGACAAACTCCCAAACAGGCTCTGAGGCCTCTTTCACACAACTAAGAAAAATGATTTTCTGCTTACTTGATGCTAGCACTTGAAAGGAACTGTAATATCCCCTCCCCTTTGTATCTGTTGCCAGGATAATCACCTTATCACCTTTACCTGTTTACTTGCAGATTCGTGTCACGTTTGTAAATGAATTTGGGGTTGAGGAGGCTGGAATTGATGGTGGTGGGATTTTCAAAGACTTCATGGAGAACATTACTCGAGCAGCCTTTGATGTGCAATATGGACTATTTAAGGTTACAGATTGTTTTGTCATTTATGTTTCCGAAGCCTGTACCATATTCACATTCAAATTTAGGCACTTTTTACAAGCCACGACTTTGGATTCTGCAAAAGAAGATGCTACATTACATTTTAACATCTCAAAGTTACATACATGAAACAATAAAAGGTTTTTTAATTAGGGGCATGTAGCTTCAGTGGTAGAGAACATTTACCCCCACACATCCAAGACAGAGTTTGAATCCCCCTCCTCTTTTGAATCAGCTCTCTGATAAGAAAATTACAGTAGAAAGTCCAGTTCTTCCATGAGATGTATGCAGAGATTCTGGCAAAAGCTGACTCAATATGGTCAGACTAATGAAAATGGCAGATCTTTTGCGTTATGCTGTCAGAAATTTGATATTCACACCTAGACAAATTATAACTTTGTGACTTAGGTATTTCTGCTCATGTTGCTTATTTGTTGCCTTCTGCTTGGCTTGGTATATACAGGAAACATCCGATCATTTACTCTACCCGAATCCTGGTTCGGGAATGATTCATGAACAACATCTCCAATTCTTCCACTTTCTTGGAATACTTCTAGCAAAGGTATCAAATTTCTGTACTGTTTTAGTCGATATGGTGCTTCATCATGGTATCACATGTTTTTCTCCTTACAGGCCATGTTTGAGGGGATTCTTGTGGATATACCATTTGCAACGTTCTTTCTGAGCAAACTAAAACAAAAGTAAGTGTGCCAATATTTAACTGACGTACCAGACTACTTCATGATTCTATCTAGTATCTTTTACTACAATCTTCTTAATACTGGAATTTTCTTTCTGTTTGTTGATTAGGTACAACTATTTAAATGATTTGCCTTCATTGGACCAAGAATTGTACCGCCACCTTATTTTCTTGAAGGTAATGTAGTTCTTTCTTCCATTGTGTGCCTCGTGGCATATTTTAGCTTGTACTGAACGCTTGTGCTTCTATTGACACCATCATCTGCATTTAAATTGACAGTTTTTCCGTTGATTTTAAAGTGTTTTTTTCATTTTATATCATTATCTTGCAATGATTTGTTAATTATGGAGTGCTCACTCCCCCCCCCTTCTCCAAATTTATGATCTGCAGCATTATAAAGGTGATATATCGGAATTAGAACTGTACTTTGTCATCGTAAACAATGAATATGGAGAGCAAACAGAAGAAGAGCTGCTTCCCGGGGGAAAGAACCAACGTGTCACTAATGAGAATGTCATTACCTTTATTCATCTTGTTGCCAATCACCGTTTGAATTTTCAGGTAGTGCAAGTTTTTATCTTGAACCATTCTTATTCCATATATCTTCATTGTGCAAATATGACTTGGCGAAACAAAACTGGATCCATATGTTTAATCGGCATATCTTAAAATTAAACCCATCTTTAAACTTTCCATCTGGAACCCATTCTCATTTTCAGATACGTCAACAAAGTTCGCATTTCTTAAGGGGGTTTCAGCAGCTTATACAGAAAGATTGGATTGATATGTTTAATGAGCATGAACTTCAGGTATATTAGTCTACCTCTAGGCCGTGTTGATTACACTTTGTTTACATAGTATCACATGACTATACTCTCTTCTTGCTTGCCTGTTGATATCAGATCAATAAACTAAAAAAATCTTAGTCATTCTCATCCATTTTTATATGTGTCTGTGATGTTATTTTGGATTTAAGAGTTTCCAGTGATGCTACAAATTATTACTGAGAGCTACAGTATACTGTGAAGACATGTATCACGTATGTCAGTCTTTGCCATGCTGTCTCCGCATTGGAGCATTAAGATTGTTCTTCTTAAAGAAAAAACAAAAAATCTTCTGGTAGGCATTATGGAGTACAAGAGGTCATGACAATGATATATATTGCATGTGCATGCGTTGTATACTCAGCACAAGCTAGAGTTTCTCATAGGTGGAACCTGGTGTCAGATCAATATTGTTCCATTTTGTGTCGAAGTTGCCTACAAACTGAGTTTGGATTTTTGATCTATTCCATAGTTACAATCTGATGAAAATTATATTAGGAAGGAAAAGGCTGTATCAGTAATGGATTGTTTGATGCAGTTGAGTATCTTGGTAGGTAATGTTTATCAGGAATCCATCATCTGATGCAGTAGGCTGTCTTTGATTGTAATTTTTATGGTCACTGTGAAAGGTAGAGTTTTCATTTGTGGTTCCTCGCCGCTAGCTCTGATGGCCTAGGATGTAAAATATATTTTATTTAACATTTCTCTGAACAGTTATCCTTTAAACCGATGTTGGAACCAGGGATGAATGCAGCTAATGGGCTGTATGGGCTATAGCCCATGCCAAAAAAAATTTGATTTTTAAATGCGATGTAGTCTTAGCCCAAAAAAAATTATATATAGCTAAATAGAAGGGATAGCCCACTTCATACTTGCATTCACAGCAAACAGAGTCAAAACTTACTTGAAACAGGGCTAATACACACCTACTACTTGATTGATATGATTGATAGATTGATTCGTTTAGTGTTAACTCTTCCGGTTTCTACAGCAACAATAGAATGTGCATTTTCTTCTATGAGACTTGTCAAAAATCGACTTTGGAACAAGATAGAGGATGAGTTTCTTGCTGATTGTATGATACTTCACATTGAAAAAGAATTTGCTGATGGTATTGATAACGAATCAATAATTACTGATTTCAACTCTTTGAAGCCTAGAAGGGTACAACTCAAATAGTTGTATTATGTATTTGCATTGCATTGCATGTTTATTTATTATTGTCTTTTTTTTTTACTAGTTTATATCTTATGTACTAGATGTATTTTGAGGGTACGGCCCAATATTTCCCCCTGATTAGTGTATAATTTTTGTTATCAATGAAATTCACTCATACCGTCGAGTTTGTTTATAAGAGAAATCCAGCCCAGTGTATTTTGAAATCCTGGATTCGTCCTGGGTTGGAACATCTGTATATAATTAGACCTCCATCTTCTTGCTTCTTCAACTTTTGTCAAGGCTTTAAGATTTATTTGCTCTCGAGTTGAATTCATATTACAGTAACTCATCTTTCTGATTTCCTTAGGTCACTGAGACAACTTTATATTTCTTTCAAGTATTATTTTCATTTCTTCCATTAGTATTATTGTTCGACTAGTTCTTCAATGAATGTTTCCTGATTGTTCTCTTGTCTTTAAATTGGTATAAAGGCTGAATGTGGACTATATTGTGTTGAGTTATTTATGCGACACAGTCCTTAGTTTTTGCAAAGTTTGTCTAAGTGTCCTCTTTTTTTTGACCTACCTTGTTTCTACAGCTTCTGATATCAGGTTCACTTGACAGCTTGGATGTTGACGATCTACGGATGCACACCAACTATGTGGGTGGCTATCATAGTGTAAGTTCCCTTACATTGGTTTTGGCTTCTTTATATTAGTGGTTTGGTGAGACTTATAAAGTTAATGTTTGTGTGGATGTTTTCACAAGTGAATATCGTGGTCTTATATGGGCTTTTATTATCCCCGCCTTTTCCAAATTTGGTTGAACATTTTGGCCTTCATGTCCATATCTTATTGGAACCAAAATTCTTTTGGTGTTTCCATGACTCCACCGCCCAGTTAATTCTGTTCCTGTAACTGTTTTTGTCATGAAAAAGAGTGACCAGCGTGTGCTCTTAGTTGCCTTGGGGAAACTTAAACATTGTTTTGTGGTTTCATCAATGTTATTATTTTACGATTTCGTTTCTTTTGGGGTTTGAACTTTTTAGTTTACTAACATGAGTGGGGAAATTGTTTTGTTTGTCCACTGTACTTATCATTAATCACATTTTAATGGCGCCAGCTTACCCAAATGTACATTATAGCTCTCATTAGGACCTTGTTCATTATTTGTTTGGACAGGATCACTATGTCATTGAGATGTTCTGGGAAGTTCTGAAAAGCTTTTCATTGGAAAATCAGAAGAAATTTCTAAAGTGAGTTTTTAGCATGTCACAAAATCCCTCGAGCACATTATGTTGGCTATTTCAATTTCATGTGTTTAATTGGCTTTGAAGTTAATGAACATCAGGAGAGATACTAACCACACCAGCTTTTATCCAGGTTTGTGACTGGGTGCTCCCGAGGACCTCTGCTTGGATTCAAATACTTGGAACCATTATTTTGCATACAGAGGTAAGAGGGTGCTCCCAGAGGACCTCTGTTTGGTTTACCAAATTTCTTCTCTACCGTTTATATTTGTTAACCTTTTCTGCCTCTTTCCACAGGGCTGGTGGTAATGCATCTGAAGGAGCTCTTGACCGATTGCCAACTGCCGCCACTTGTATGAATCTCCTAAAGCTTCCACCATATAGGAGGTTTTCTGTTCCTCTCTCTCTGTTTTTTGTTTGTTTCTTATAATTGAATAATCTTTTGTTTTCTTTTTCTAGTTGTATTCTTATGCTTAAATTTCTTCCTTCCACCCACATTAACATTTCTCAATGACATGCTTTTGATGCAGTAAAGAGCAACTGGAAACCAAATTGATGTATGCTATAAGTGCAGATGCTGGCTTTGATTTGAGCTGATGGAAGGAAGCTGTGCATTCGAAGTTGTACCAAATCATTTGCTCCAATCTTCTGTGGAGTGAACCATTTTCTGGGCAGACAGTATACATCATGCATTGTTAATTTGATGCCCCTGCTTGGAAGTGTTGACGATCGTATCAGAGCTTCACAAATAAACAAGGACTGCAAAAGCAGAGTGAAGCTTGAACTGAATGGCATGTAGATATTTATTTCTGGCAAGCTCCTGATTTGACTTGTAAATATGTTGGGGTGAGTCTGCCAAAGTTCAACAGCTTTGTTAAGTTATACAGAAATTGGGCCTCATATGAATGCCATGTGAAGGCCTGTCTCAACATAAATAGGTGATCGTTTTGAGAAGTGTAACATTGTTCAAACAATACTCTTTTATATATTTATGTAAATGAAAAGGGGGCAGCTTATTTATATAGATACAGTGCTTTTAATTCCTCCTCTTTTAGGGAAGCCTTACATAATCATCAGCTAGGAAAAAAGAGCCATCGCTGCATCCTTCCATGGAATTATGTTTTGCAAGACAAAGAATGTAACATTTCCACGAGTAATTTATTTCAGTGGAACCTTTATGAGTTGTGAGCAAGTTGTGGAATGAAACTCAATTCGAAGAGGGATGTCATGATCAAGATTTCACCTGCCATCTCCTGCTGTGTTTTATTTTTAAAAACATGATGTGGACATGTAAAAGTGAGGTTTGGTAGAATTAGACATGATCGGGGATTTGCATTTTTCACAAATTGGCATGTAAGTCTCTGAGAATGCGCTTTCTTGAATCTATAAATACAAAGAGCCATTATGGTTCCAAACCAAAACCCCTTCAACAAAATTTAAACAAAAAACATTTTGTTTTGCTTGTCGTTAACTTACATTATGCGACCTCTACAAAAACCCCAACTTTTCTTTTTCTAATACTAGCAATATTAACGTAAGAGTTCAATCGTTGGTTACATTGATAAATATTTTTAACCACTTGAATTATAATTCTCTTAAAATGAAACACTACCTTCGTTGTCTTTTTGGTCAACTCATCAACATGTCACCAATCACCTAAAATTAAACTAAAATTTGGTACCAAAAATAAAAAAATTGAACAGAGAGAAGTCGGTTCACTAATAGAGTAGTCTTTTTAAAAAAAAAAATTAAATAATATTATTATCAAGATTAGTACTATTTCAAACCGATAATTTCCGTTATTATTTTATGAATTCGATCTCCGTTTGGATGAAGAAATTGAAAATTACATAGAATTCTAAAATGACGGAATTTAGATTTTCATCATTTCAATTTCTGGTAATTGAAAATTTCAGTGTTTGGATTTATGTATGTCGAATTTTGTAAATGGCACTATGGAAATTGTGAAATGCACCTATTTTAATGGAAATTAAACTCGGGAATTTGATAACCCAATTTCTACAATTTTTTTTGACACTGTCATTTAATAAATTTCGCGCTTAAGTTGCCAAACAAGAGAATTATCAATTTCTTCTTTTAACTTTCCAACTGCCAACTAAATTTTGAGTTATTTTCCCCATTCAAACGGAGGGTCGACGTTATTTTCATTTTCTTATGTCGTACATTGGTTACGTGCCTGATTGATCAAGAGTGAGGCACGTGACCAACTCTTAAGGGCAAACTCATCTTAACACTCCCCCAACAAGCACTGATGTTGCTTCTGAAATTTATTAAAAACAAAAAAAAAGCATTGATGTTGGTCACGTGATCAATTTTGACGGAAAATTTAACGGATGATGTGTGACAGAATAAGAGGATAGAAATGACACTAATCAACTTGAAAGAATGAGGATTAGGAAATTAGTGAGTATTTTAACGCGCGTGCCTAGGAAAGAAGAAGTGCCAAAGCGCCATCAATACGACCCCGCTTAATTTGTCTATAAATCCCTCACGGCCAAATAAGCCCCCTGTTTGATTGTTTGCCGCAAGCAAAGCAAACAAGAGAAGAGAAGACAAAGCTCGCCTTGCACAGGAAGCTAATAATACCGCCGCGCCGACCACCCAAGACGAAGAGAGAGGAGGAAGACGAAGATGGTGAAGGTGCGCATGAACACGGCCGATGTGGCCGCCGAAGTCAAGTGCTTGCGGAGGCTCATCGGCATGCGCTGTGCCAATGTCTACGATCTCTCTCCAAAGGTCCTTTCTCTTCTCTTCCTTCTTCACTCTTAAGCCCCTCGAGCAAATCAATCATATCCTGTCATGAAATGAAATTTACATTCTTAATATGTGGGTTTTTGAATGTGGTTTGGAATTGGATTTGCAGACCTATATGTTGAAGCTTATGAACAGTAGCGGTGTCACCGAGTCCGGCGAGAGCGAGAAAGTCTTTTTGTTGATGGAGAGTGGCGTCAGATTGCACACTACTGCATATGTTCGGTATGATTATGATTCATTGGGTTCTTTTACAATTTACAGATAATGCAAAAAAAGAATGTGGAGTTTTGAAATTCATATTGGTTTCTGAGCAGGGACAAAAGCAATACTCCCTCTGGATTTACACTGAAATTGAGGAAGCATATACGCACAAGAAGGCTTGAGGATGTGCGGCAGCTTGGATATGATAGGGTATAAGTTATAACATCCCTTCCAATTGGGTTCTTCTTTCATTGTTGGATTTAACTTTCTGCACTTTTTGGGTTTTTCCTCTGATTTTTGTGTGGCCTCCTTCTCAGATTGTTCTCTTTCAATTTGGGCTGGGTGCTAACGCCTACTATGTCATATTGGAGCTATATGCCCAAGGAAATGTTATTCTCGCAGATTCTGATTTTATGGTCATGACTCTTCTGCGCTCGCATAGGTTAGTGTTTAACATCCATTTCCTGTGCCATTTTAGTAATATTGATTATTGATTAGAGACACTCAAAAACTTGAATATTGATTAGAAACATGTTTGCTATCTTCTGATTGTGCTCACTTGTGTTCAGTAAGAGAAACCCAAAAACTTCTGATTCTTTTTCTTAAGTTGAAATATTAATTAGGTGGTCAATTTTCGTTTAAATAGGGATGATGATAAAGGGGTTGCGATCATGTCACGCCATCGTTATCCAATTGAAATTTGTCGAGTTTTCGAGCGAACTACTGCGGCAAAGTTGCAGGAAACCCTTACGTTTTCTAAGGAACCTGATAACAATGAATCTGTTAAGGATCAAGAAGGTGCAAATAATGTGTCTGATGCACCGAAAGAGAAAAAAGGTAGTCGTAAAGGTGGGAAGCCTGCCGAGTCAAGTAAAAATACTGGTGATGCTAAAGCCAAACAGGTCACCTTGAAGAATGTTCTTGGGGAGGCATTAGGCTATGGACCTGCTCTTTCTGAGCATATTATATTAGATGCTGGCCTCATTCCAAATACAAAACTTTGTAACGAGAACAAGTTAGATGATGATACAATTCAGCTTTTGGTCGAAGCTGTTGCAAAGTTTGAGGACTGGCTGCATGATGTTATATCTGGTGATAAAATTCCTGAAGGGTACATTTTGATGCAGAACAAAAATTCAGGGAAGAGTAATCCCCCATCTGAACCAGGAAGTTCTGGCCAGGTTACCGATTTCTCTGTGATAATTTTACCTTTACATGCTTTAGAGTAGAGTGTAATTTCCCCTTTTTCCCTTGGTTGAAGGAGATCCGCCTAGTCAGGTTTCCATTGTGTGGTATCTTAAATGATTTCTGGACTTATTTTGCAGATATATGATGAATTCTGCCCCATATTATTGAACCAATTCAAATCAAGGGATTATGTGGAGTTTGAAACGTTTGATGCTTCTTTGGATGAGTTTTATAGCAAAATTGAGAGCCAAAGGTCAGAACAACAGCAAAAGGCGAAAGAGAGCTCTGCCACCCAGAAGCTCAACAAAATACGCGTGGATCAGGTTTTGCACTGTTTCTTCTGCTGTGCTATTTGAAAATCAAAGGCAGATTTGAGTGCAGCTTTTGTGTGTGTGTGTGTGTGTTATGACTTGAGTTGAACTGAAATTCGACGTAGCCCCATCCCCTTTTGTGGTGAGAGAGAGGGGAAGGGTGGATGGTGGGGTAGGGTGTTTGAGAATATCAAATATTAACATATATTTTTGGGTTACATTCTGTGTACTATGTATGTGTGGCATCTTTCATCTCAGTTATTTCAATCCTATGATATAGGAAAATCGTGTTCATATGCTAAGGAAAGAAGTTGATCATTGCGTTAATATGGCGGAATTGATAGAATATAATCTAGATGATGTGGATGCTGCTATAATAGCAGTTCGTGTAGCTCTAGCAAAGGGCACGAGTTGGGAGGATATTGCTAGAACGGTGAAGGAGGAGAAGAAATCTGGAAACCCTGTTGCTGCCATCATTGAAAAGCTTCAGCTTGAAAGGAATTGCATGACATTACTGCTGAGCAACAATCTTGATGAAATGGATGATGATGAGAAGACTCTCCCTGCAGATAAGGTGTGTCTGAAGCTTCAATTTTTTCTTTATCTTCTCTAGAAATGAGTATCTTATCCATTACCTTTCTTCTCTCTTATAGGTGGAAGTTGATTTAGCACTTTCAGCACATGCCAATGCTCGGCGGTGGTATGAACTAAAGAAAAAACAGGAGAACAAACAGGAGAAGACTGTAACAGCACATGAAAAAGCATTTAAAGCTGCCGAGAGAAAGACTCGTCTCCAGTTGTCACAGGTAGCTTCATCTTCTTGGTGTAGCAAGCCCATATTTTTGTCTATTTATGTAATATGAGTTTTCAACACAGCACTGTCATAAATGGTAGGATAGACTAATACAGCATCAGAGCATAAATACTGTGCGTGTGCGTGTGTGTGATGAGTGCCATATGTCAACATCAAAACAACCAGAATATGAAGAATATGTATTCCTAGAGGAACGGCAATTAGCTGTAAATATTTGTCACCATTGCCTAATATATTCTTAGAAGATAAATTGTTTTCCAGTTCTTAATTACATTTGTTTCAAATAATATGCAGGAAAAAGCTGTTGCTACCATTTCACATATGCGCAAGGTTCACTGGTTTGAAAAATTTAACTGGTTTATCAGCAGTGAAAACTATTTGGTTATCAGTGGACGTGATGCTCAACAAAATGAGATGATAGTCAAGCGTTATATGTCAAAAGGAGATCTGTAAGTCAATTTAGACATTGAAATAATGTGTTTTTTTTTAAATTCTCATCTACATCAACTACCACTGAAGCTATTATAGGTTCAAATTATGCACTTAGTGGTTTATGACTGTTCTGATCTATGACCATGGGGTAAAAAAAATTGTTCCCTGTAGCTTATATGCATCTTTTAGTTATGTTTATTTTACAAGTTTTTATGTCCTTCGTTTGGGCCACTGGAACAATCTCCGTGCTTGGTCTCATAATCTTCTCTATGGCTGACTCTTCTCAAGGAATTCCTCTGTGTTGCGATGTTGATAATTCTTGTTTCCTGTTTTTATTTTTTTTGTCTGAATTATTGTTTCTTCTTCCAGTGACTTTGGTCTTTCTTCTTTTCATGTTCTCTCCATTTTTCCTTTTCATGATTTCTCTTGTTCATGCTACTCCAAGGGAAGAGAAACGAAATCCTGTTCATAAATGCAGATGATTTAATTTCTTGTCATGTTGATGCGAGATGGGAATTCTTAGTTGGTAAATGTCACGTTTTCAAGAATCTGGTTGCATGAAATTTTGGTTTACACACTTCTCTGCTCATCTTGTTTATTATAGCCACACTTTGCATCTTCTTTCTGATGTTGATTTTGTTATGTAACAGGTATGTCCACGCAGAGTTGCATGGGGCTTCTAGTACGGTGATAAAGAACCACAGGCCAGAACAACCAGTGCCTCCACTTACTTTAAACCAAGCTGGATGCTTCACAGTAAGTCTGACCTTCCTGTAATGCTTTTGTTTTCATATCAGCTCACTGTGTTATTGTGAGTGTTTCATATCACCTGGATGTGTAATATTGAACTGTTTTACTGATGCTTCGTATAGGTTTGCCACAGCCAGGCATGGGATTCAAAGATTGTCACTAGTGCTTGGTGGGTTCATCCTCACCAGGTCAGTAAAACTGCTCCTACAGGGGAGTATCTGACAGTTGGGAGTTTCATGATTCGTGGGAGGAAGAACTTTCTTCCCCCACACCCTCTAATTATGGGCTTTGGGTTGTTGTTCCGGTTGGATGAGAGCTCCTTGGGTTCACATCTGAATGAGAGGAGGGTAAGAGGTGAGGAGGAAGGGACGAATGATGTTGATGAAAGTGGGCCTCTAAAAGAGGTATCTGATTCTGAGTCGGAGAAGGAAGTTGCAGACGAAAAACTTGCAGAAGAATCAAAAATCACTCGTGATTCAGCTATACCTATCCAACAACCAGATCCGAAAGACCTATCTGAGGTTATGTCCTCTCAGAATGGATTAACTACAACCATTGATAAAGCAAAAGACTCACATGAAATTTCCAGGAAGGACGGGACCTTAAATGATTCTGATCAGAAAAATGTAGTTAATGTTGCTGTAAACGGTGTTGCATCTGTCACCCCACAACTTGAGGATCTCATTGATAGAGCTCTTGGGCTTGGATCGGCAGCTATGTCCGTTAAGAATTATAGTGTTGAACCCTCTCCAGTTGATTTGGTAGTGGAACATAATGTTGAAGAGAATCAGGCTGCAGTAAGAGAGAAACCTCATATCTCAAAAGCTGAAAGAAGAAAGCTCAAGAAAGGCCAGACCAGTAGTGTTTCTGAAGAACATGCTAAGCTGCAAAACGAAAAATTGAAACACAATGTTTCTGCAAGTCTGCCTGAAAAGGAAGTTCATGATAAGAAGCCAGGTGGTGGAAAAGTTGGTCGTGGACAGAAGGGTAAACTCAAGAAGATGAAAGAGAAGTATGCTGATCAGGATGAGGAAGAAAGAAGGATCCGTATGGCTTTACTAGCTGTGAGTACAGTAACTTGCACCATCCTTATATTGATCATCATAACCATTTGATTCTTTCTAGCCTATAAATTTGTCTGTTCTCAGCTCCCAATTTGAGTCTTCATGCCTTAAAGTTGATTATCTATAAGAGTTTCCTACATTTTCTGTTGGCATATTTTCTCTCGCCACTCATGCATTTTGTAACTTTGTAGGCGCACAAGTTGTTTGGAATTCTTATTCTGATATGCCCATATGAATGAACAACTATAAAAGTATAATTTCCATATTGAATGTGGGAAAATCAAATACATCCTTTGGAATTATACCCTCAATTCTCTGAAGTTACCTCATATTTTTGTTCAAAAGACCTGATCATCGATCTAAATGACAATGTTTGTGAATTTTCAGTCTGCTGGAAGAGTACAGAAGAATGGAGAGCCTCAAAATGAAAATTCAGCTCCAGCTGAAGATAAGAAACCCGGTATGTCATCTTCAATCTTCAACGGTTCATTACTGTTTCAAACTGTATGTGATGATTATCATCTTCTGTACTTCCTCCAAGGCTTTACTGGTTATTTTTTATTAGTACCGTGTTTAATGGAAGTCTATTAGTTTTTGGGTCAAGTACAGTAAACCCCCCAACCTATGGGGCCATTTTCAAGTACATCCCAACCTATCGACAAATTACAATTACATACACAACGTCACGAAATATTACAAGCGAGCCCCCTCCGTTAGCGAGATCGTCAGAATAGCCGTTAGCTGCCTACGTGGCGTCTAGCTGGACATTTTTTAAAGGGCATTTTCGGCATCTCAAGTCCATGGGTTTCGCGCCAACGCAACACGTGGCGTTTTTTAATTCAAAATAAAAAAAACCCCAAATCGATTTGCAGATTCTCGTCCAGAGCCCCTCTCCTCCCCACGAAAATCGATTTCCCCCCCAAAATCGAAACTTCTTCCCCAAATTGAAACCCAAACCCCATTTCGTGTCGATCGAAAGCGCACAGAGAAGGCTGGGTTGCTGTAAGTCGAGATGGCGTGGAGTCGTCGTCCTCGTGGCTGTCGTCCTCCTCGTTACTGTAAGTTGCATGTGGTTTTATTCCTTCTTGCTTTTTGGTTTTGTCGTACAGAGCTTGCGGTTTTGTATTTTCTGAACCTGTGATTTGCTTTGAAGTGTGCTTGAGAGTGATATTTGTGGTCCATGGTCCATTTCTGTCGGTGTGTTGTTGGAAATCTCCGTGCTTTCAAGCCAGCTCCAACCTCTATTTTCAATTTTCGGTTTTCCTCTTCTTCCTTACGTAATCGTTTCAATAGTCCACATATCACAATCTTCGACCTCTCGCATACCTGTGGATCATACCATTCAAAGAATGCACAACCTCTTCTTACCCCATAATCAGCGCAGCCCCAAAATCTTCTCCCAGGGTTGTTGTCAGTCCACGACGTCGTCAGCCGACATTGATTGCCGCAGTGGCAAATTCGCGGGCCCACTTCGCATCTTCGATTCTCAGACATCGTCGATCTCGTCGACCTCGTCGACATCGTCATCTTCGTCTTCTTCGAGTTGGAACCTAGCCAACGACTTCTGTCGATTTGGGGCTTAGGGTCTGAGGGGTTGTGGGGGGGTTTTGATTTGGGGGTTTTTTTATTTTAAATTAAAAAACGCCACGTGTTGTGTTGGCGCGACCCATGGACTTGAGATGCCGAAAATGCCCTTAAAAAAATGTCCAGCTAGACGCCACGTAGGCAGCTAACAGCTATTCTGACGATCTCGCTAACGGAGGGGGCTCGCTTGTAATATTTCGTGACGTTGTGTATGTAATTGTAATTTGTCGATAGGTTGGGGTGTACTTGAAAATGGCCCAATAGGTTGGGGGTTTACTGTACTTAACCCTTAGTTTTTTGTAATAACATCAATTCTCTTAAATCTAGCAGGTCCTGAGGATGCTCCAAAAATATGTTATAGATGTAAAAAGCCAGGTCATCTGTCCCGGGATTGCCAAGAACATCAAGATGATTCATTACATAGTCATGCAAATGTTGAAGATGACCCTCTGGATTTGGATAAATCTGCTTCTGAACTAGACAAGGTGACAATTGAGGAGGATGATATTCATGAGATCGGTGAAGAAGAAAAAGAGAAATTAAATGATGTGGATTACTTGACTGGCAATCCACTGCCCAGTGATATTCTGTTATATGCGGTCCCTGTCTGTGGTCCTTATAGCTCAGTCCAATCTTACAAATATCGTGTGAAGATAACTCCTGGCTCTGTGAAGAGAGGGAAAGGTAAATGACTATCCCACTTGCTACTTGTTTTTTTGTATTTATGCTTTCCATGGCAGTAGGCACAGGCATTGCTAGGAAATTTCTTTTTCCCTTAACTCGGGCAATGGAAGTAATAAACTAGTTTTTCTGTTTTTCCGTTTGTACCACATTCATTGACAACTTTGCTGACCACCTCTCTAATAGAGGTGGGCCCCACTCAGATATGCTGGACCCACCTGTATTAGAGAGGTGGCCAACAATGTGGTACAAATAGCAACACTCGTGGGATTAAGTATGGAATTTTAGTTTCAAGAGCTTTCTTTTATTGCATAGATTGATCATTGACCTCTATCTTTCTAATCTTTTGTAGCTGCAAAAACTGCCATGAACTTGTTTAGTCACATGACGGAAGCAACAGTTAGAGAGAAAGAGTTGATGAAAGCATGCACTGATCCTGAGCTGGTTGCTGCAATTATTGGCAATGTGAAGATAACATCTGCCGGCCTCACTCAATTGAAGCAGAAGCAAAAGAAAGTCAAGAAGAGCAACAGCAAAGCTGGAAGCTAGACAGCTTAGTGCTGCGTCAAGTTTTGTAAAGACTGACAACACTAGTTTTCTCTGTTTGGAGGCTGTCTCCAATATGTTACTTAGTATAATCTTTACTGTAAAAAAGCAGCTATCGACATAATCCTGTTAGGCAACTTGAATGTAAGAGCATTTTTACGTGTTAGAGAAAAAGACTGATATCAATTATCAAGGCTGTTTCCATAGAAATGGAGCCTCTCCTTAGATCATATTTTTGAATATGATGTCAGACCAAATGAAAGAAAAATTGAATTTAGTTAATTGAGATTGATCCATAGTTAATGTAAATCGCATTTCATTTGTTCAATATCCATTTACTGGAAGATACCTAGAAAAAAAACAAAGCCTGTTTGGTCGATATACATCCTAAAAATCATACAGAAGTTTTGTTGCTTGGCTTGGCCACACAAGTACAGAATTATGATTTATGAGCCACACTTGCAATCATTTTGAAAGCTACATATATATTCAAAATGAATAACAAATATAAACAGTTTGGTTAAAGCAATGCGATTTTGAATTAGCATTGCAGGCAGACTGGGGTATGTGCTTTTACAACAATTTCTACAAGAAAATTTCAGCAGGAAAAACCCCAAAATGCTGAAGAACTTTTGTCTCACTCGGTCACCTCAGCCGGGGGAAAATCACTCAAATCTAAACCCTCTACTGGCAAGTCTGAAGTAAGCGGACCCAAGATCCCATCAGAGCTGAGGGTTAATCCACTCTGCAAATTAAGGACAGACGCATGGTTAAGTTAATAAAAATGAGAACTTTCAAGATTAAACACTTTTTGACGCAATTGAAATGAAACGTAAAATTTTCCCATTGGATGGCTCCTTTCATCCGTCCGAAAAGCTGATTTAAGTCAATCCAATTTTGATTTCCTAATCTACCCTTCTTTTTTCCATTTTATATTCAGATCAAGTCATATAACCTATTATAAGGAAATAACGCAGCAAGTACCTCAGGCTGGAAACGGAGCATGTCTGCACGAGCCATAGCTTCTGCTTGAGCAATTCTCTGCCTGAATGTCTGCGCCATCTCCTCCGCCTATTGGAACAAATCACAAACATATATACAGTCATTTATCTGGTTTCAGGAAAGCTAACTAGTGTACAATTACGTTAAATATTAGGAGAAGAGGGAAACACATGATAAAACTTTAGCTTTTCCTGTCCTGTCAGACTACAAGATTATAAGACCATGTTCACTACGAGAAATTACTATGGGGCAAAAAACACAACAAGAAGACAAGACCGACCTTCACTACTAGAATTAACTATCCAGTAAGTGCAACTAGTAAAGATCTTTGGAGTTTATTATCCAGAAAATACCTTCTCAAAGACAAGCTTTGGATTGCGAATCATATCTCCAGGAGTAGGTTCTAACTTCTTGGTAGAAAGACTTACACGGCCTCTCTCACGGTCATGGCTCAATATCATGACCTACACAAAGAGTAGCAGTTTAGAAATGCTTAACAGAGTGGAAAAAAAATTCTCAACCAATAACTTGCCTAGGATATAGTATCTATACCTTGAGGGTGTCACCAGGTTGGAGAACTGTTGCAATATCAGAGACTCGGTCATGACTGATCTGACTAACATGAAGTAAGCCGTTGATTCCACCAATGTCAATAAAGGCACCATATGGCTTCAGGCTTTGAACAGTTCCCAGGACAACTGATCCAATTCCAAGCTGCGCTTGGTTGTCTGCCATGGCCTTACGGTTGCTGAGGACAAGCCTGGACTGTTCTTCATCAACCTCCACAAACTTCAGAGGAATCTCTTTATCAAGAAGCTCTTCTGCCGTTGATTTCTAAGATATGCAAAAGTAAATGTGACAAACTCAGATACTGAAACATTAAGGACTAAAAGTGATTAAAATTTGGAACTATGCTAGTGACAGCTGAATGCAGGATTGAAAACAATTCCGGGAGAAAGAAGCGAAAAATGTAATGGAGAATCACTGCCTGTTCATTTTGGCTATGATTACTTACAAGTTACAACTGTATTATTTTACCACACAAGAAAATGCAATCAGAAAGTAGCGTAAATATCAAGCTAAGAAGACGCTTGGAAGTTTAGAAGCCAGGTTAAAGAACTAACTGTTGATATCTGTGAGAAAGGAACAAAACCTCTAAGGCCTTCCACCACAGCCACCACTCCACCTTTGTTCGCACCAACAACCTGCATAAATACATTTTAACAGAGCTTTCTAAGAATATATAGAATAAATAACACGTGAATTTGTCTGCAAAGATGACGAAGAAATTTGTCTGGAAGACTACAATTTTTTTTTTCTTTTTTAAGCTTCAAATATACAAGAACTCCAGGGAAGGAACCAAGACAAGCAGATACCCACCTTACCCTTGACAACAACATCCTCAGCTTGGAGCTGTCTACATCTTTCCCATGCAAGGTCATACTGGATAGACTTTAAACTCAAAATCAAGCTATCGTCAGCTTCATTTTCACCAATAATCACAAACTCCTCTCTCACTCCAGGAACTATGCCCACTTCTTCTACACTCTTTATTTTGTGAATGCATGCCTCTTGCACAGGCAAGTACGCCGAAGACTTTGCAGTAATGTCGACTAATGCTCCATAGTTATCTATATTGAAAACTGTACCCTTTACCTGATAAAGAAAAAGAAATGCAGATGCACAAAGTTAACAAATTATCTTCCATGGAATCACAAAGACTACGCAGTAACGGTTACTCACTCAAGCTCACATTGACAAGCTATAGGCTAAGTGAAAAAAAATCTCAAATCCATATAATAAATAAACTTACATAACCACCAACAAACTAGTGCCCATTTCTACAACTTTATACAACTTTAAAAGATAGAAGAGAAATAAAAAAGAGTTCTTTTGGGTATGCTTAACGTGAGCCCAATAACAGTCAGAGACCCAGTGTCAAATTTGACATACAGACATGTAATTTCTTCATTTGAGCTCATACCCATTAAACCATTTTCACTTAAACTCAAAGGAAAAGAAAAAGAAACAAACTTTACAAGACAGACCTTAGTTCCAATCTCAGAATTGAAGTCATACTTCTCCAGAGCGGAGTAAAAAGAGTCGAGATTGAAAGAGACGCCTTCCATGGGGGCAGTACGACACCGTTCGTGGGCATCTTCGAAGAGTTCTTTGAGCTTGAGGCGCTCTTTGGTCTGTGCGTTGGAAATGGCCACAGCTGAGACTATGGGAAGCAAACCCGGCATTTTGTTTTGCTTTGGAAAGACTGATGGCTTTGAGAGCCGAGAGGTTGAGAGTGGCGGGCATCTCAAGCCTGTGAATTGTTGAGCCAAAGACGCCATGTCTCTGCTTCTCTATCGCTCACAGTGCTTTTGAGGAAATTGAACGCTTTTGGTCTCGCTTAGATAAGGCAGTGGTGATTTGGAGAGAGAGAGAGTACTTGCATGGATAATGTGATTATGTTGAATTCCATGGGTCAAGATGAAATTAGGCCCATTGAAATTTATCAAGATCCCTTTTTGGGCCCATCATCCCAATTAAAGACTTTTTTATTGAGGTGCTATTAAGAAATTGGTCCACAACACAAGGGAAGATTGGACCATGTTCCCATATTATTGATCGAGTCCCTTCAATCATTGGGTGTTTCTAATAACATAAATGAACCCTAAGATTTAATTAGAGCACCCATCATTGTTCTTTTACCATAGAGTAGAATTCGAAATCGAGGTCTCATCTAGAAAAGTGAAAACAATTACAAATGGATCAATAATAAGTTGGTTTTGTGCACTCATACTAAGAGAGTGGAATGTTCCATCATTATTTATTTGGCTAATAACATACTTTTAACGAGCTCATTGGAGATGCTCTTAATATTGTTTATGCTTATCACCAATCATCTCGCATCAAATTACCACCAACCCTCTATTTAATCTTAACCTTCATTTATGTACTCTCATTGTCCTCTTTTGTTGCCCAATCTATAACTTCTTTCAACCCTTTCTTGTTATCTTCCCTCGGTTTCAGAAACTGCTAAATCTAGCTCTTGTTTTCTAGTAGCTAATAAACCGTTTCATCAAAAAATAACTAAAAAAACGGGAAACAAACATTAAATACCATAATACTGATAGTGATATGCGAGCAGCACCAGTGGTCTAGTGGTAGAATAGTACCCTGCCACGGTACAGACCCGGGTTCGATTCCCGGCTGGTGCATTTGTAACTTTTTATCATTTTTTAAAAAGAATTTTAAATCATTTTTCAGCCACTTATTAAAACAAAATAATACGCCGACATTGCAGAAAAGCACCAGTGGTCTAGTGGTAGAATAGTACCCTGCCACGGTACAGACCCGGGTTCGATTCCCGGCTGGTGCAAATTTATTTTTTTATCATTTTTTCGTAAAATTATTACTCAAATTTTCACTTTTTAGTTTTTGTTTTTTTGCCAAAGTTAAGAAGAGGGAGGGCGAAACTCACACACGCGTATCATAGGAGCATAAACCCTCGAACCACCCTTGGGAGCACACCAAAGACCTGTGCCAATTCAACCAACACCCTAAAGCTTTCACTTTAATTAACGTTTTTCTTTCTTTCTTTTTAGTAAGTGTTTTCTAATAAGGAAAAATCGAAACATCGTAATCCTGGAAGATCACAACCCATAGTTTTCTTACCAAACTTTGAGTGCATCTCCAATAATAATTCACCTAATTTACTGGAAGCAATGTCAAAAAGAAAAAGGTAAATTTGTTTAAATCAAATCTTCTTATAAATTGGAAAGTTATTTCCACGAAAATTTGTATACATTTTATCAACGTTCCACATAATGCAAGTAAATCCTTTTTTACTACACTAAAAAAGGGCACATAAATTTTGGAATTTATACATTATCCTCAACCTACCCAAAGCAACACTTATATGATTCTCCACGTATGCGATATATAGTTTTCAGCTGCAATGATCTCATTCGTTTAAAGGCCAAAGCAACTATATCATGTTATGCTTTCTCTTCTCCTTCTACTTTGTACAGCTTCCAAATCTCAGAATAAATAAATAAATAAAGCATGGAGAATTATTCAGGCTGATTCCCATGATTTTGTGTCACCATGTACACTTGTTCGCAGGATACAAGTATAGAGTATATACATGTCCAGGAGCCAAACCAAAGAATAAAACGAATGTGACGTTTTTTCTTCTTTTAATTTATAGAAAAAAGAAAATGATATAT